TCGAGAAAATTTCTTTTGAAGTTTGAGCTTGGTCAATGGAATAATTGCTGCCACCCAATTTAAAATCTAATGGTCAAGATTAATGTGACCACCTTGTAACAAAGGTAAATGGTCTCATTTTATAATTTCTCGAAAGAAAACGGGAACTGATTTGAGATGTTTCTAAGACAGTATTTATAATTATGTGATCGACATTCTAAAGGACTAGCAATATTGCTGCTTAGGTGTCTTAATTTGTAATAATTGGATAAGGTTTGGATGATGATGATGAGATGTTTTAGTTTATGAGAGTTTCAATATTGTTTTAGTATGCTAAGTTAATATTTATTTTATTCTTTTTGCTTTCCATGAATTTTATTAAATAATGTAAGATGATCTTGTTTTCCTTGTCAGTTGCTTTTCATCTTTTACTTACGTTTTTTTTTTTTTTGCTTTTCATCTTTTAGGTATCCCATTAAAATGCTTCATTTCTCTTTGGTCATTTCTCTTTTTGTTATTTGGAATCCGAAATGTTCATTTATATCACTCTTTTTGTTATTCACACTTAACCTTTAAGCGTTAACTTGGAATAGATAATATTTTATATCAAAGAGTTTGCTACATCTTGCACCTAATTTTTTTCAGAGTCAAAATTTGGCCTGAATTGGATGGTGCCTAACACTTGCATCTGCATTTTGTTGTTTTGTAATTTTTGAGATATTATATTCGTTCTTGCAGATGCTTCTGCATTCATTATCACATCCTTTTTAAATCTCTTATTCACTTTTGAGGTTCAAGTATCCTTGAATTGATATTTTATAACCATGGTGTTTTTTGTTGTTATGATATCTATATTCAAGGTTCTTTAATAATAAACTTGTTTTCAATTTAATTAGTGTGGTCTACTCTATCGGGCTAATCTCTGAAACTCTTGCATATTATTGTCATTATTATTTTAGATATTTGGAATTATTTTTGTGTACATGGAATATGGATGCATAGTTCATCATAAAAAATAGAATGTCATTAAACATGCAGTGAACCACGTTCTTAAATGTCTGTCAGGTTTTAGTTTGAAAAGCTTTTAAATGTGAGGAGATCTAAGAGTGACCATGCATTCTTTCTGTTTTGTGATTACGTGTTCAGAACTTCAAATTTCACATGTTTTCTTTGTAATTTTTCATGCTTAAGATCTATGTTTTCCTGTTTTAAATTTCTGAAGTGTTTTCTTTTTAAGCTCACATGCCTTATGCTTGCAGAATGAATGGAGGGCTATTGGAGTACAGCAATCAAGAGGGTAGGTGTACTATGCAATCCATAGGCCAGAGCCCCACATCATGCGCTTCAGGAGGCCTCTCAACTATCAACAGGACAATCCTCAGGCACAACAGGCCCAGGAATTGGCTAAATGACCAGTTGCCATGGTCTTTCACTCTGTCTATGGGCCCTCCTGCTTGAGGTCCTCCTTTTGTTTCTCTCAAATGGATGGATGATAGGCAGTTGGTATTCTTCTGAATATTAAGACCCTTATATAACTTTCTAGCTGGATTGGATTGGTTAATGGCTGATTGGATTGTGTGTATCAGTGTTTCAAAAAGGACTAGGCGGGTCTGAAGCAGCGTGGGGGCTCCAAGTCGTCGAGAATCAGGGCAGCCCAATTGAATAAAAAAAGGTATATATACAGAGTATACTTAAAATTTACTCTTAGTGCCAAGGGAAAATTGAAATACTTGACTGAGGACAAGCTAATGAATCTATTCAAAGTATACTACACATTAGCGGACGCTCCATAAGTTGATAAGCATAACCATAAGTCGGTATAGATACTTAAAATTTACCAACCAACCAAATTACCAAACCAAAGTTACTAAATAGTACCAAGCTAGTGGAACTACAAATCCACTATCCACAAAACACATTACAATATTACACCACCATGAGGAAGAAAACAAAAATGAAAGTAATACAAATACAAATACAAATACTTGAAGACTCAAAATGATCTTCAATAGACAATAGTTCAATCAAAGTTCAAAGTTTAATAATTATTCAATATTCATCATTAAAAAAATGAGAGTCAGCTGCATTGGCATCATATTCATCAAAGTCATCACCCTCCTCGAGATATTCATCATCCTCCTCCATCTCTTTTGAATCTGTCTCTTCTTCCTTCTCCACCCTCATTCTCTGTGCAGAAGATCTAGGGACCCTAAGAAGATCAGCTGATGTCCCTGAAGCATCCATAATTATGTCTCATGTTAATCATTCATACCCCTTGACCTCATCATTATCAACTAACCACTCCATAGCATTGTCCATATTTTTTGATCTGATGGAGTCTCTCTTATCTCTCTTAGCAAACGTATGCTTCAAGAATCGATTGTCCTTGACATAGACTAGGTCATTGAGCCTCTTTGATTCAAGCATGTTCCTTCTCTTTATATGTATCTAACAAAATCAAATGAAACTGATTAAAATTTAAGGTTCATGTATTATTCATACAGTTATATAAATTATCTTGACGGCCTTACCCCTTCAAAAGCACTCCAATTACGCTCACAATCGGATGAGGAAGTAGTTAGATTTAAGATCCGAATGGCTAACTTTTGTAAATTTGGAGAACTACACCCATGTTGTCTCTACCAATGGGCTGCAAAGATATAGAATAAAATAATAAATAAATAATAGAATTATAAAAATGAAACTTGATTACTTGAACTTGATAAAATTAAGAATATTAATACTATGGTACCTGGATCAATTTTGGCCCTTTGCCTCGTCGCCATTAGACTCCCAAAATACTTTAATGAGCACGTGTATTTATCAGCTCATCAGTACATATAATATCGTGCATATCAGTATCAGGGACTAGCAGATCTGTACAGTTATTAAATCTAGTCATAATTGTGTCATTTGTGTGTATATCCTTGTCAACATAAAAACAAGCTAGGTGCAAATAACAACCAACTGCATGCAATGGCCGATATAGCTGCCTATTCTACTTCTCATCAATAATCTCCAAAACAAGCTTGTAGCAGTTCTCATCATTATTAAAATTTTGGGCTATCTCTCTTTTGCATTCTTCATAGCCTCATATATATAGTTCATGGAAGGCTTGTCACTATCAACCATACGAAGGACTTTGTAAATCTACGCATTATGCTGAGGGTGAGATGGTGGCCATAAATGAAATTTGTAAGTGCCTTTACCTTCTTCACTATACCTGATATCTCGGTTAAACCGCCAAGAGCCTCAAGCATGACATCTATACAATGTGCTGCATATGGTGTCCAAAAGATTCTAGGATAAGCTATGCGCAATAAATTAGCTACAACAACATTAGGAGTAGCATTGTCTGTGACAACCTGTACAACAAGATTCTCCATAACCTCCTTGATTCCCTTCTCTATAACTTGGAATATGTAATGAACATCATGGATATGATCAGAGGCATCGATAGACCTAAAAAAAAAGTCCCTAAATTCATAAGAAAATTCATTTGACTTATTCTCTTCCTATCACTCCAAGCATAAATAGAAACCTCATACTGAGCCCATACATCATTCTTAACTTCTACAACTTCCTTCATGACACTCACCGCCTCTTTCAAAAGAGGCTCTGAAAACTCATATGGGGTTGGAGATTTCATCCCAAGCCCAAATTGGCCAATTGCCTCTACGGCGGCATAGAAGTTGCTTAAGCGAGCGGTATTGAAAGGAATGCTCGCTTCATAAAACCATGTAGCAAGATAATAAGCAGCTATATCTCTCTCTTCTTTTTTTTATTCTATTTCAATGGTGGTTTGCTTCTTTGTTTTCTCTTCTGCAACCTCAAGGTCAGGCTAATATCAATGGATGATGTTTTGATCAATTTCTCATAACTTTGAGAAATCCTTCGATCCTTATGAATTACCAAAAAACTAGTTTTTTGGAAGATTTCTCTCTCTAAAATGAGCTCTAATAAATTTTAGGTTTCAAATGAACTTAAAACCACCATTTTTGGCCCTTTAGTATAAAAAAATGGACAAAAAATGTCCCCATCGAAGTGAATTTCCGCCCCCGGGCGGGGCGAAAGACCTGGAGGCCGCCCAAGTCTGGGGGCTGGGCAGCCGCCTAGGCGGTTTTCTGAGTGCTTAGGCGGGCACCCGGGAATTAGCGCTTCAAAAGGGCATCATCCAGGCCCCAAATTCGGCCTAGGCGGCCGCCCAGGCTTTGGGCTGTCCGCTTTTTGAATCACTGGTGTGTATTACTTATGATGTGCTTATGCAAATGTATGTGTTTCTGTGTTTGAGTAATATACATGCTCTTTTTTATAAATTGACTTAATGTCACTCACCAAATTAGTTGAGTTCCTCTCAATTGGTATCATTTTGTGGTTTTTCTGTGAATCTAGCTTGGTTCATGGTCACCAAATTACTGCAAAAAACTAGATAAGTTTGACGAAGTTTTGGAATATGAAGTTCTTTCCAAATTTCTCATAATAAGCAGATAAGTTTGGGAAATTTACTTTAGATTATTTTTTCTAAACATTAAAATTGCTGTAAGTGTTCAGAATATTCATGCTTTGTTTTGTCTGTAACCATGAAAAAAGCAATCCAGCCAGATTACTTGGTGCAGGGGGGAGGTTGCATTTATTTTAAAAATTCTGGTGGGATGTCATGGACTTCCTGTTACATTCTCATTTGTGATCGGTTTCATGAATAGTAGTTTCTATTTTTAATTATGGTTATGCTTGATGCGAACCAAAATTAGGTGCGAGAGTATTCAGTGAAAATTGAATGTGGCAGATATTTGTTAAGGACAAGGAATTTAAGATTTTGTTCTTTTCTCTGTGGGAGCACAAAAAGCTCTCCACCCAAACATACTTTTTCAATCATACGGTTAACCCAATTATTATTTATGGGAAGTATATAAAACAAGTTTGCAAGGAGAACCTCTATGCACATGATAGGAAAATAGTCCTGAAATAGAGCATTTGTCATGCCTCAAAATATGAAGAATCTCTCCATTTGTTTGCTAAAGTTTCAAGCAAACTGATATTTTTATTGCCTCAGTTTCACCCCCACCAACAATTTCCAACAAAATCCAGAAAATTATATCCACGCGAAAGGGAGCATGCTACTCTCCAAATGTATTGGGACATCCACCAACACCAAAGCGATTGTTCGCATTTCGCTATTGTGGGACACAAATCTCACTACGCGGCATGAGGAGCCAACAAGTCTAAAACTGTCGGCCATAGTTTTTTTTTTCTCGTGATGGTTGACTATTATGTAGTTAGTCACTAATGCATGGCCCATATTTCAACCCTGCATTAGTCAAACATTATACTTATGCCGCCTAATTAAGTGTGATCGAACTTAGTCTAAATCCATGTTTCGTTTCCATTCAGCTATACTTTGATAATCCATCTTCCCAATCAGCTAAACTTAGTCTGAAGCCAGCTCTGCCCAGCTTCCTTTCTCATCATCCATGTCTTTCCAATTACTTCCCTTACCCACTCTGCTTCCTCCCACCTCCCATGGCTGGCATACAGGTTTGACAGAAGCACAAGTGTTGCAGGGTCATGAGGTTCTAACTTCATGATTCTTGCTGCAACTGCCAAACCTAGAGCAATGCAAGCATGAGTTTTGCAGGAGCTGAGCAATGACCTTAAAACCTCAAGCTCTGGCCCAAATGGCATCGACCCAGCAAATTTCACTGCTTCATTGAGCATTCCAGCTCGCCCTAGGGCATCAACAACACACGCATAGTGCTCCTCCTTGGGATTAATACCATATTCCACCTTCATCCGCCTAAACCAAAACATGGTTTCATCAACCAGCCTGCCATGGCTGCAACCTGATAGAACTGAGAGAAAAGATACATGGTCTGGCTTCATTCCACATTCTTTCATCTTCTCGAAGAGGCCCAAAACCTCCTCACCATTCCCATGTCGGGCTTGGCCAGCAAGAATAGAGTTCCATATAACAATGTCCCCCTTTGGTGCCTCTTCAAAGCAAGAAACTGCCTTTTCTAGGCTTCCACATTTTGAATACATGTCTAGGAGACTGCTGGCTATGAAGGAATCAGTTTGGACCCCTGTTTTTATGATTTGGGCATGGATCAACTTGCCTGTTTCCATGGCCGTCAGTTTAGCAGAGGCTGTGAGAGCACTGGCAAGAGTGAACTTGTTTGGTTTTGTGCCTTCACGCACCATCTTTACAAGCCAAATGAGGGCGTCTTGGTTATGATCGAGCTTAACGTGAGCTGAAATCAAGGCCGTCCAAGAAACAACATCAGGTTCAAACATCTTACTAAAGAGTTCTATGGCAAAATCTAGGCGCCCACATTCTGCATACAGTGAAAGAAGAGCGGTTTCTACTTGTATATTGAGATCATACCCACACTTGACTGCATAAGCATGAACTTGTCTTCCATGATTGATGAATTGTATGCTTGTACAACCAGCAAGAACACCTACACAGGCAACACTATCTGGTTTGACACCATTGTCTCTCATTTTGGAAAATGTTCTCAGAGCTTCTACTGAAAATCCACAGTAGACATAACCTGAAAGGAGCGTAGTCCATGAAAGCAAATCGCACCCACCTTGGATCTCATTGAAAGCTCTTACTGCATCATACATGGATGAACATTTCGCATACATATTTACAAGGGAATCCTGCACATCTATGTCATTTCCATAGCCAAGTCGCAGTACCAGTGAGTGAACTTGAACACCCATGTCCAAAGACTCAGATTCGGCACATAAGCCAAGCACACAAGCCAAATTGGAACCATCCACAGCCATGCCTGAATGATGTAGCCGATAAACCAATTCACATGCCTCCTCAAACCACCCATGGTCAGCATAGCCTGAAATTAAACTGGTCCAAGCCATCACATTCTGGGTCTGATAGTCATCTGTGATATTGAAAGCATCCCACATGGAGCCCACTCTAAGATACATTCTTACAAGAGAGTTCTCTATCATGACTTCATCACGAAACCCAGTCTTAACTATCAGTCCATGAATCAGCTCTCCATGTTTCGGTGTTTTCGAGTTACCAACTGCTGTTAATAAAGCAACTAGGCTAGCTCTCGCAGGTCGTGAAAAAGGGGAGGACATGATTTGCCTGAAAATTTGAAAAGCTTGTGCACAATTACCACTCTGAGCATGACAGGCAATAACAGTATTCATTATGACCACATCCTTCAATTCCAACTCATCAAAAACCTTCAATGCTTCATGAATCTGATGCAAGTTACAGTAGAAATTGATAAGAGAACTGCCCACATGAATGTCTTGATCCAACTTGTACTTAATCAGAAGCGCATGTACCTGTGAACCTTGTGATAGATCATTACAACCAGTGCAAACCTTGAGCAAATTTGTCATGGTGAATCGATCAGGTATGGGCTGGCCTTGGGATAGCATCTTCTTAAACATGAGAAGTGCAGGAAGCACGAGGCCACACCAGATATAGCCAGAGATCATAGTATTCCATGAGACTGTATCTCTTTCAGGAATTTGGTCAAACACCATTTCTGCATCTTCCAAAGCTTCGCATTTTGCATACATGTTCACGAGACTGTTCGATAGGAAAACAGGTCGGGTTTCCATGGATTTGTGGATGTGAGCATGGAGACTTCTACCATTAGAGAGTGAATCAGTTTCTGCGCATATTTTTAGAAGATGAGCACACCTCTTCTCCCAATCTAAATATTGGGGAAACCCATAACAGTAATCCAATTTCAAATTTTGGGGAAGGCCATAATGAGGTTTGATCTTGGGCTGGCCACAGTAATGAGAAGTCTGATAGAAGAGCACGGATAAAAAATGTGAGTATGTGGAGAGAAGCCTTAATGGCTTCCTCAGGGAATGGCCTGTCACCATAATGGCAATGGCTAGTGAGACAATCAGGGACGATGATGAGAGTTTGTGTTTGCATGAGAGCTTTCTTCTCTCACCACCTTCTTTAATCTTATTTCTTCACCCCAATGTCATTACCTTTTAATATTGCATGAAAACATAACCAGCTCAAGTGCAAGCCTTCATTGTTTTTGGTATTTTTTGGGGAATTGTATGCTATGAGAGCAATTAATTTTGGAATGAAAAAGGTTAAAATCATTTGGTAACCGTTGTGGTTTGGAGATTCAAATTTTGTGTTTATTTTAATTTGTTAAGATTTCATATCTAATGGTTAAGAATAAATGTGAACTCTTTGTAGCAAAAATAAATAGTCTTATAGTATATAATCGCTTTTTTCAATATTAAATAGTGATATTTTATTAAATGATAAATTAACCAGTAAATTTATTATATATCTATCTTGTCTATTCCCTTATCTAT